ATTATCTTTATATACAGAAGATCAATTTAGTATATATTAAGTAGAGATTTCATCAGTTTGCACCCACACAGAACATAAAGTGTAAAATACTGTTTCAGTACTAGTTATAGCATTACTTCACATTGGACAACACCCTAAGGACAGATCCCACATGAGAAATAAGTACATAGTGACTCCTATTGTTGACTTAACAATTTGACACTCTTGTTTATGGCATCAGTAATCTCCCTAGGCTCTAGTCATGAGTTGCCAAGGCTATGGAAGCCTTTTGAGTTCACCAACTCCAATATTATTTAGACAAGGTCATAGTCAAAGTGGAAGTTCTCTCCTCCCTTCAGAGAAAGGTACCTCCTTCTTTGAAGGCCCGTTCTTTCTACTGGGATCTCAATTGCAGAGATCTTTCATTTAGGTCTTCTTTTTTCTTTTTTTTTTTCCCCCAGAGTGTCTTGGCTTTCCATGCCTAAAATATTCTCATGGGCTCTTCAGCCATATCTGAATGCCTTAAGGGCTGATTCTGAGGCCAGAGTGCTGTTTAGGACATCTGCCATTCTATGAGTCTGCTGAGTATCCCGCTTCCCATGATGGATCGTTCTCTCCCTTTTTTATTCTCTCAGTTAGTATTAGCAGACACTAGTCTTATTTGTGTGATCCCTTTGGCTCTTAGACCTATCAGTGTGATCAATTGTGAGCTAAAATTGATCACTTGGACTAGTGAGATGGCATTGGTACATGCCACCTTGATGGGATTGTACTGGAATCCCCTGGCATGTTTCTTTTAAGATTCTCTTTCTTTCTGCAGTTTTATGAGACTAGTAGGCACTGTCTTGATTTGAGGAGTGGGTTGTTGCAGCTCAGGCATCCCAGACCACAACATACATATAGATCATCTGGGGATCTGATGAAAATGAAGAGCCTGATTCAGTAGCTCTGAGGTGGGCCTGAAATCTTGGGTTTCTAGAAAGCTTGCTGGTGATGCCAACATTGCAGATCGCATATCATTCTTACATTCACAAAGGAGAAGACCTCTCTAGTGATGCCATTTTCTTTCTGCTTGCAGAGCCATCTCCCAGATCATCTAGGCCCTGACCCTCAACAGGACATTTGTACATAAATATCGTAAACTAAATGATTCCCTTCACCGCTTCTGAACCAATATGTCCTAGGACTCTGAAATACTTTATTTCTATTCCACTAGGATGCTGCCTAGAAGAGAGAAAGATTTAACTAATTCTAAGTCATGAATCACCAGCTATTTAAGGGATACAGAGAGCTGGTACCATCAGTAAGCACATAGATTTACAAATTGTGGAAAAGTTTCCTTGGGGAAAATATGTCTTTGATTGTTCAAAAAAATTCATGATCAACTTATAAGCAAATATGTAATCGTAGTATAATGATGACTGTCCAAATTCTTGACATCCGCTTTGTATCACAAATCTCAAATTTTATCTCATAAAGTCCTGAATTTATTTGAGATGAATCCAACTTAAATTATAATGAGAAAGAGTCCCTGGATTTCAGGAGGTGGGCATTTGAATTTTATTTGGTTTCCAATCCTTAAATGTCCTCTTTTGAAGCAACAAATTGGAGAAAATTATTGTCTTATGTCCATGAGGCTCTAATAGTGCTATCAATTTTTATTTTGTTAATTTAAAAAATCATTCAGAATAATAGAATAAAATAATTTTTTGCAAGCTGTTAGCATTTGGCTAACACATTCTATAAATCTCAGGAATCTTTAAGAAAGACTTAGGCAATTGGTCTGCCGAAAATATTAGATTGACAGGATTATAGAGATCCATATTTATCGACCAGGAAAGGCAGCCAATTGTGCTGTTAAGAGAAAAATCAGATAAGCCTGTGTGCAAAGCCTCATACCATTTTGGTTAAAAATAAAAGAAAAAAATGAGCAATTTCTATTTGGATAGTGACATCATAGATATTTTTTCTTTCTATTGGCAGAAATTCCTATATTAAAATTTTCTTACTTTTAAAATTAGAAGTAAACAACCACTACATATTTTTAAGGAAAAGATGGACAGTGGGAGAGCCATTTAGAAGTCTTAACTACAAGTGTTTTTCATTTTATGGTATTTGGTAGAAGGAATTGCATTTTCATTATTCTATAAATCCCTGAGAGTTTCTAATACATAAAACAGTGCATGCTGAAGAATTCATTCTAGGGGCTGTTTTAAGTGGGACCAACAGGAATCACTGGACAGTTTTTCGGGAAGGCTGGCAAACATTCCATGGCCTAGGTGGAAGGGAGCTTGCCTTCATTGCAAGCTGTTTTGTTTGCCTTGGTCTCATTGCCATTGTTGTTGCTTTTTATCATGTGTATGTGATGCCCTCAACTGCCTGTACATATACTGTAGTTCCCTTTATAAATTCTAATGCAATATTAGAATTGCATTAGGTATGTCAGATGAATTGACAGGGTAATTTGAGGTCCAGTCAGATGTAAAATCCACTATGTAGTATAGGGATAGGGACAATATTTATGAACATTTTATTATTGTTAAGTTAAATTGTATTTACTTGAGAGACTGAGAAACAGAGAGAAAAGGCAGACACACAGACAGTAAGACTGAAAGAGCTCCCCTCCATTGTTTCACTCCCCAAATACCTGCAACAGCCGGGGATGGAACACACGGGAGCTAGGAGCCTGGGAACCCAATCCAGGCCTTTCACGTGGGTGGCAGGGACCTAACTTCTGAGCCATTGCCTGCTGCCTCTCAGGGTGTAGTTTAGAAGGAAGTTGGACCACGGAGTGGAGACAGGACTCACACCCAGGCCCTCAAATATGGGAGGTAGGTATCCCAATGGGGGCCAAACTGGTAGGCCAAATGCCCACCAAGGGGTCGTCCTTCAAAAAGATTTGAAATAAGGCTTATAAATATGTGACTGAAATGTGTTCTGTAAAAGCTGAATATACATTGGGAAATACACAATTGTAGTTACATAGAATTTTCCTGAGGGTGTAAATGGGACTTTTACCAAAGTTTTGGAAGGAGGGTGTGAGAGAAGGAGCCCTCTTCCAGTAAGTGGTGGTGTCCAGAACACACAAGGCCTGTGTAGAAAGATGGATGAGGGAATAGCAGACTGTAGAGGGTAACAAAAACTCACATGCTTTTCAAAAAGGGTTACCCTGTACGTAGGATTCACTTCCTCTTCCTTTCACAGTGAGCTACGTAATGCATCTCTCTGGAAGGCTGTCCAGTTTTGTGACAGTGGTCCAGCTTCTAACGGTAGATGAGTTTGAGAAGAAGGGGACATTTCCCTCATCAGGAAGAGTAAGTAGGGATGAATACAAATGAGGACGTTCGCTGAGGCCACTCAGAGTGAATGAGGGTTCAAGTACCTAGCGATGGGGATGGCTGTTCTCCGATGGCTCTCAGACACTGAATCCATAAATATTGAAGAGTCTGTATTTCTACTCATCTGTAAGGCCAGATCAAGGAGAGGGAAGACTGGGGCAGCCAGGAATGAAATCGTAGCGCAGCTTGCCTACCCTACTGTGAACTAGGGATTGTACAGCTATAACTAAAGTGTTCAGTTATAGCTTGCTTCCATCATAGTTACTAACTCAATGAAATTGTTTTATCAATACCCTGGCTTGCTCCTGCAGTCACCATTACACACTTGGACCTCTTGCTGTTTTGATGGCAGAGTCGCATAGGACCAGCAGTTCACACAAGACGTATATTTTACTTGTATGCTTAAACACTACCTGTTAGGAAAAGAAAGCTTTGCTAGTTGGTTCACGGAGGTTAATCTGCCTATTTACAGCCAAGCAGTCCGCTTGCTTAATCTCTTCAATATTATAATAAAATAATGATTTGTCCAGATGAAGACTTGGGCAAATCAGCAAGTTTCTTTAATCTCAATAAAGCATAGTGATCTCACTAAGCCCATAAATAATGATCCCTATCCTAATTTTGACTTTATTCAGAATAAAGAAGCAATTTTTCTCATTTAAAAATCAATTGAACAGGGTAAAGAGGGAAGAGAGTTTGGGGATTTGAATTTGTGTTTAGTTTAATAAGACTTTGTGCAACATAAATGGAATGAGAAAGTGTCCCATTTTCAAGTGGCACGCTACTAAGTACTTTCCTTCTTAAATTTGTCTGTCTTTGTAATTGTTTTATTCTACCGGGAGATGCCATGTAGGACCTAATTTCTTTTCCCCAGTCCTCACTTTTTCCATTTGTGCATAAAATGTACTGAGTTTGCCCCTCCTGGAAGAAACAGTTGCCCTTGTAGAATATTAGCATTTTCTTTACACCATTTAAGTGTGAGTGATTCCTTTCCAAGCCTTGCATTTAACTTAGTTAATTTCAGTTGTGCACACAAAGTGAGACAAAAGGCTTAAATGATACATATATATATGAGAGTACTTCAAGCAGTGTGTGGAGAGATGGAATTATAAGATAAGTTTATTTTGGTGTAAAAAGAATTTGAAATCTGCACATATATACATGTGTATGCACATTTAAGATGTAAATACTTTTGCCATCATGCCACACTTTGGTAGGAACCTAGCTGAGTTCTTCAGCTTGTTGAACAAGTATACATTTACAAATGTATACTAGATTGTATGAAATTAGCTCAATTATGTGAAGATAGTTGTAACTGTGCTATTTTGCATGAGGCTGTTTATCTTAACCCTATGTGTATAAGAGGGCTCTTCATAATATTTAAATTACTTTATCAACTCCAGTAGACCATAAATTCTTTGACAGGAAGGGCCATGTTAGAATCATTTTTGTTTTCCTTACAGTGTCTAGCACTCTATCTTCCTTGTACATAGTATATGCTTATTAAATTTAAAATAATAGGAATAGAAAATACAACATGGTACAAATAGCAGAGAAATCCTATTCCAAAAGCTGATGTCTGGTTTAGTGTTCTGGTGCTAGAATATCAGAATGGTCGGGCAAGTAAGCTGTGACATCAGTGAAGCAACCTTCAAATCTGCTGTCTACCGGCATTTTACCTACCTTACTTGGTTCTATTTGCCACGTGTCTGAGGCTGCAATCTTTTGTTCAGGAAGTGCATAAACTCCTTTTCTTTGTAACTTCTTGGATCCTATATTAGAAAGATGTTTAAAAGTGTAGGTGATTTTAGATGATAATGATTAAGAACTTTTTTTTTCAATCTAAGCAATGCTGTTTCTGACATTAGCATTCTAGCAAGATCTGTGTTTTGCCTTTATTTCTCACAAATACAAGTTAGGTCACAAGTTAACTTAATACCAGCAGAGGGAATCGGTTCCCCTAATGATCATTCCCAAGAAGTGGATGCAAAGAAGATACTGAAGAAATGACTAGATTTTCTTGTCAGCTTGTTTCTACAAATGGAGAAGTAGTTGTGCAGAGATCAGCCATTCTCTGATCACATAGCACAGAAGACTAGAAAATTCTCTGATGAGGAAAGACAGTGAGCAATCACATAATAGTTTAGGGATGCAGGAGAAATCCAGAGGCACTGAGGCCGCCTCATTCGGCGGGCTGACCCAGCAGCCTGCAATCGTCTCCTGTCTTCCCGCGGAACCCGTTTCCCTCTCTGAAACGCAGTCTTCCCACTCTGAGCACAGAACACTGCTCAGCCTAAATGGAAGGAGGAGAAATGGATGCTAGGGCAATTCTTAGACATCTTTGACGGTTACAGTTGAGCAGAGTTTCAGTTGCACATATAATTCCTAGCCAAGGAGTTTAGAAATCACATTTGACTCACAGCTGGATGGTCTTTGAAAGAAGTTGGGTGTTACACCAAGCCATCTGTGTTTCAAGTGGGCTTTTATGACAGTCATTCTGAAGAGGAAGAACAATATGAATGGTGTGAAAGTTAGTGTGCAGTTAGGCTCTGAGAGCAAGTCTCCCTGAGCTGACTGTAGACGCTCCTGCGAATCTGAGGCATGAGTTCTGCCTTTATCATCACACTGCTCAAACACACACACACACACACACACACACACACCAATCCAGTGTGGGGATAAATAAGGAGTTTAAATAGAAAATTTAAGGAGGAAACAGTCAGACAGAAATACAAGATGAACTGTTGTGATGACAGAGGCTGTTAGTGAAATTCCAAAGGGATTGTTACACCATGGTTCAGAAGAACAGAATGGCAAAGGGCTCAAGGAAGAGGTGGCCTGCAAATGCACTAACAGAAAAAATTAATAGCCCTGGAGCAATACTGTTATTCATAGAATTTGCTTTTAAAAGAAATATATATATGTGTATGTATACATACATAGAGAGAGAGAGAAGGAGTAATACATGTATTTTCTATAAAACCACCAGGCTTGTCGTGCAGTAAAAATAGCAAAGCTTTAAATTAACACACAAGGTCTAAAGCGTTTCAGGAAAGCATTGATTATCCCTGCCAATGGAATGAGTGCATTTGGCGAATGACCTAATTATCACAGAGTTGGTTCTTTCTCACTGCTCTACTTCCTGCTAATTGCAGGACTGCTGGCCTTCTCCCCCTGACAAGGAAGAAAAAGAAGGACAAGGGGTGCGTGGAGTAAACAGTGACATTCAGTTTTAATTCATTTGAACCTGCTGCCAAGCTTAATTCTGTAATTGAGAGAGTGGCCGGGTGGGCTTAGAGCCATTTGGGCTGCAGTGCCCATGGTGAGCCTTCTCCAGGGTTTTGCTGAGGGCTTTAGCAGTTACCATAAAGCGTGATTAGCTGGACCTGAACTAATCTCCCTACCCTTCCCCTCCCCAGATGCAGGTGCAGAGGCTCTGCTCTCAGACTTGATTCTTTGTCATTAAGGAAAGCAAATTGAAACCAAATTGAAGTTGCCTTCTTCCTCAGTAAATGCATCATTATTCTTTGGAGGCAACCTCATATTTCATTCTTTTTTCTTCTGATCGTGATGTAGTATCCGCTGTCACGTAAAACTCAGGAATGCAATGTTTATTTCCAGAAGGGGAGTACTTATCGGGGTAGTCTCAGACGGTTTTCCTCTGAACTTTCATTTTAACTAGTGAAAGTGAGTATTATGAACATCACATAATTCAGTGAAATATTTCAGATTTGATAGCTCATCCTTTATTTCTAATTTTGTGTGTGCAGTCTTTGGCCCCCTGTTGGCTTGGAGCCATCATTACAGATGTTTTGTATAAATGGTTCGCTCTCTCTCCTTGCTGATCTTCCGAAGAATGGTTTTTCTCAAAGTGCAGCCGGAAGTCCCCTGATGTAGAGAAAGCTCAGGGTGCCTCCTGCTCTCTCCGAAATTTCTTGTGTTTGGAGTGGAGGTCAGCCCTGGAGGGCAGCATCTTGATGCTGTAATATCCTTACGTGTCTGGGGGTGGAGAAGAATGGAGAAGCCCACACTGGAGGAGAGAAGGGACTCATGCAATAAGGAGGTTGCTTATATGGCTGAGCTGAACCAAGTCCTCTTGGTGTTTGTATTTGTTCTTTATAGTCCAGAAGTATCGGCAGACATTTTTATCAGTAGATCCCCGCTGCCGTCTCATAAGGTACATTAGCATCTTTAAAGCACACTTTCAACTTGCTTTGACAAATATTTGTTGAACATAAGCTCTATGTTAGGTACAGTCTCAGGAACTGGGGATAAAGAAAGAAACAGCAGCTGAGAGCAGAGTGTTCTTGTTTTCTTACTTTTGGCTACAATGGGCAAAGGCCAAAGCCCCCTTTTAGCAAAAGGTGGCACCTTTCCCACATGCTCTACACCCTTCCCCTTCCCTTTCTCATTAATGTTATTTTATAAATTAACCCCATGCCCTTTGCAAGCTTTCATCTCTTGTTTTCTGGTTAATTTTTCTATCAATATTAGAAAAAGAACTATTGGAGGTCAATAGGTATTTGTTGAATAACCTAAATACTCAGTAGTTCTCTACCCTGGCTATTCACTGGAATCAGATGGGAAATGGACATGCATATTGGGTTTATTTGTGTATACACACACAGACATATAGCCATCGTATTTCCCAACTTAAAGCAAGCAAGCAAAAACAATTCAGTGGACCTCAGATCCCACACTAAACACATCTCTCAATGTTCTTTCTCTGCTACCACTACTGCAGAGAACCGTAAATCCTCTCTCTAACTTCCTCGTCTTCCCTTGTTCTTCAAATACTCAAGCAGGCTTCAATACCTAGCGTTGGCCTGAAGCAAGTCAGGTTAGTAACATTTATGTTCCTAAACACCCTGGGCATTTTCATTGTCATCGCTTAAACCGTTACAGAAAGATGAAGTTTCGCTGTCCTGCTCTCCTTCATGCTCTGTGGCGTGTCTTCAGTGAGGAGAAAGGCTTTTGATATGCCAGGAAGGAGCGGGAGAAAGGTCTCAAATCTGTCTCTTCCATCAGCGGTTTGAAGGAGCTTTATGGATTAGGTAGAGAAGAGCTGGAATGCAGAAATGTTGGGAAGGCGAGTTCTGATTGGACAGGGTTGGAATCAATCAGCCAGCACAGAGTTAAGTGTTTAGCAATGTTCCTGACAAAGCAGGACCTGGAAGGGGCAGTCCAGTATCAGCAGGCTCCATAGCACTGTCACAGCCAGTCTCTCCTTTACTGGAACACTTTCTGTCCTTGGCTCAACATCCTGCTACCCTTTTCTTTGCCTTCTTCCTCTCTGATTCTGACTTCAGCTTTGTTTGAGATCTCATTTTCTTATTTGACACTGAAATGCTGAACGTGTTCAAGTTACAAATCCGGACGCTGTTTTTTCATACTTACTCTAGATGTATTATTTATTTCCAGCTCTGTAAATAACATCTTTATGCTGTTGCCCTCCAAGTTTGTATTTCTTATTCCATCCCCTTTACTCAGCACCAGCCCAATATATCCAACTGGAACTTGACGTTTCTACTCCATGTCTCACAGGCATTTCTGACTCAATGTGTCTCAAACCAATGCTTTAATTTTTCCTCTTTCCTGTTGGATCCTCCTCCAATCTCCTCACTTCAGTAAATCACATCTCTCATCCAGGGGCTTATGGCAAAAAATAAACACATACAATCCAGTAGTAGTCCCTGTGGCCTGGATCTTGCTTAGTCCCAACCCAATCAATCTGTCACCAAGTCCTGTTAATTCCACCTCCAAAATATAACTCAAAGCATCCTTCTCACATCTCCATTCCATTGTCTGCTGCGCTTCCTGTGGATTCCCACAATGGCCCATGAGTCATCTCCCTCCTGCTGCCCACCTCCCCCACAGAGGTTCAAACCCCAACTAGGGAGAACTTTTTAAAAGTTGTAGAGGATTTCATGCTGCAGCTTGCCTAAAACTTCCAATAATGAACACTCAGATTCCATATTATATATTCCAATTTTCTCTGGAAAACACATGCAATTAATTCATTTATATCACAGGGGGAGAGAGAGAGAGAGAGAGAGAAAGAGAGAGAGAGAGAGAGAGAGATCCTCCATCTCCTTACTCCCCCAATAGCCACAATGGTCAGGGCTGGGCCAGTCCAAAGCCAACAGCCTGGAACTCCATCCTAGTCTCCCTTATGAATGTCAGGGGTCCAAATAGTTAGGTCATCTTCCACTGCTTTCCCAGGCAGTATAGCAAGGAGGTGGGTAAGAATCAGAGCAGCAGAGACTTGAACCAGAACTCTGATTTGAGATGCCAGCATAATCTGACAACTTAACCCTCTGTGCTACACCATCAGCCTTGTTACAATTTTTTTTTGTATTATTATTTTCTTTTTGTGTGATTACTTTCTTTAAGTCTATCCCTCAACTCAAATTTTTGTTATATAAAGATGGGAGCTAAAACTAATTATTTTCACCACTATTAACATGTGCTTGGCATCATCATCCAGGACGGATTGACTGAGTGAAGAGAGGTTTATCAATGTAGGAGGTAGGTGGTGCTGTCTGTTCAAATCTCATTTGGAGAGTTCAACTGAGAACTCAACCACTGCATTGGTTGGTCAACTACATTGACCAACAGACTACCCCAACAAGCTGGATTGAATCCTTTCATGGGATTGATTTATTCCCTGTCCCAACTTCAAAATCCAAAGAATTTTTATTTTTTTTCAAGATTTGTTTATTTACTTGAAAGACAGTTATAGAGGTGGTGGGGAGAGAGCAAGCTTCCATCCATTGTTTCACTCTCCAAATGGCCACAATGGCCTGGATTCAACCAGGATGAAGTCAGGAGCTTCATCAGGTCTCCTATGTGGATGGCAGGGGCCCCTGCACTCAGGCCATCTTCTGCTGCTTTCCCAGTTGCAAGGAGCTAGACTGGGATTGCAGCAGCCAGGACTCTGAAAACAGAGTTCACATTGGATGCTGGCACTCAGGTGGTAGCTTAATCCATTACACCGCACTACTGACCACCTTCCTCCAGGGAGTTTTCCTGGGTGGCCTTCAGAGGCTAGTAGATATAGTTTACAGAGTGGGGTTATAAAGTAGTGCATTATAAGGTCTGTCAGAAAGAGCATTTGCAGACTTGGTATCAGATTCTGGATCTGCCATTTCTGTGAGTTGTAATATTAAAACAGTTGTGTTACCTCAGCGGAGTCTCAGTTTTTTCATATGTGTAATGGGCGTGAGAGCAGCCGCCCATGAGGCTGTTATGCTTCACCAGATGTCAATGCATCAACTCTTCAGATCAGCATCTGGCACATGGGAGATAATCCCTACATTTCAGTTTTATATTTTTCTCCCTCTTTTTTCATTTCTTGACTTTTTCTAGTTTTTCTTTCTGCCTTTTTTCTCCTGTCGTACTTAGTGGGTGGTGATACTCCTATTACTAACATGGTTTGAATTTTGTAGGAGGAAAAGAATTCGCAGTACTTACAGAACATACTTCCTGTAGGATTGGAAACACAAACTTCACAGCTTCCCTGCCCAGCTTTTTGAGAGCATGTTATGGTACACTGCTGTGTAACAAGTTCATTTTAGAGTAACATGCTGGGAGGGAGAGAAAGAAGATGGGATTTGCAGAGAGAAAATTAAAAAGTTAATTAAAAGAAACAACTTGGTAATTGAATTCTCATGCACTTTCCTTTGGTTATTTGGTGGGAGGGTGGCACAGTGCACGGTTCCAAGGTTTGCTTCAGTGACTGTCCCCAAAATGCCTCAAGGAGACAAATGTGGGCCTGTGGAGCAAAGCCTTGCCAGACTAATAAAATAAGGTGCAGGATACTTGTGGTGGGCTTCTTAAGCAAGCCCATCAAAGCTACCCTCATACTCACTCTTGAGCATCCCTTGACATTGCTGTTAGGAAAAACGCTAGACTAATAGTGAGATTAAGAGCATGCAAAATTTGCTTTTCTTTGGCCTTGTCTTACTGGCTACTTCTGTTAGACCGTCGGAGTGAGGATGCTAACACGTCGAGAGGCACACCCCAAAGACTCAGAGTCCAGAGCAGCTGATGCAAAAGCAAGAGGATTTATTCGGCGTCTGCGCAGACGGGCCTCCTGAACTCGGGAGTCCAGAGAGCACCCCCAGCACAAAGCCACATGGTTTATATACCCGCAGCGACCAATCAAAAGCACTATAGAGTCCATGCACACAGCAGTCCAATCCGCGAGCTGATCATGTGAAGGGCATGCGTCTTCTATCCAATCAGCTACGGGATCACATGGGAGGCCGTGCACACAGCAGTCCAATCCGTGAGCTGATCATGTGAAAGGCATGTGTCTTCTATCCAATCAGCTACAGGATCATATGGGAGGAATGCACCTCGTCGCCATTTTGTTGTTTACTTCTTTAGTAGTTCCTTTCCCTGCCAGCGCCATCTTGTTCACCCTGAGGGGGACGATGTCTCGCTCCCTTTGTTCCCCTGGTGGGAGAGCGGCGTCCCGCTTCCCACACCGTTATTTGAGTATTAGGAGGCATACAAACTGGGTTAGGTCTTAGCATAGCCAGGCACAAGTGTCGCAGCTAGCTAAGCATAAGGTCCCTTATTTTTATAGCTGCACCTAATTTTAGCTTTGGGGGGAAAAGTTTAGGGCTATAATTTTTAAACTTTAATTTTATTTGGGGCAAAGGTAACTTCTTGTTTTTAATGGTATTGGCTTAGGTCACTCCATCTTGGTTTGATTTTTAAGGTTCTTCACTTCCTTGTACCCACCTATATACGAGTGTACTTTTTAAAGTTTGCAGAAACTGGAGTTAAAATATGTGTTTATTCTGTAGTTCATGGGTAAGAAGAGCCTTCAAAGATTTCATGGAAATGCATATTATTAAAAAAATTGTGGATGAATTTCATTACTTCTTGCACCAGTATAAACTTATCTTTAATTATAGCTTCAACAAGCTTTTTGAAGTCCCCTCATACACAGCCACACAAGCCCACAATCAGAACAATTGGCAACTCTATGTCCCTTTTCAGACTGCACTGCAGTAGCAAGTCAGTGACTTGGACATTTGTATCTAGTTTCGGAAAGACGCTTAAATATTTATCTGTGTAATCATTCTTCATCACAGATCAATTAAGAGTCAAAGATTATTCCAGATGTTCACGTTGAGAGATACAAGATCCTATAATGAAGGAATCTGAGTAATCAAATGAAGCTAGACTTTAAGTGTTTTTTTTGTTTGTTTGTTTTTGTTTTTTTGTTTTTGTTTTTTTTTTGACAGGCAGAGTGGACAGTGAGAGAAAGAGAGACAGAGAGAAAGGTCTTCCTTTGCCGTTGGTTCACCCTCCAATGGCCACCATGGCCGGTGCACCGTGCTGATCCGAAGCCAGGAGCCAGGTGCTTCTCCTGGTCTCCCATGGGGTGCAGGGCCCAAGCACTTGGGCCATCCTCCACTGCACTCCCGGGCCACAGCAGAGAGCTGGCCTGGAAGAGGGGCAACTGGGACAGAATCCGGCGCCCTGACCGGGACTAGAACCCGGTATACCGGCACTGCAAGGCGGAGGATTAGCCTAGTGAGCCGCGGCGCCGGCCATGAAGCTAGACTTTAAACTCTTGCTCTTTCACAATCTTTATTTACCCAGTTAATGTATGTTGAGGAGATGCCTACTGTGCACCAGGCATTGTTGTAATTATTATGTGCTTATTATGAGTCTTAATAATTTTATAACACATTAATAACACATTTTATAACATGGTACTGCTTTATGTCTAGAGGTACTGTAGTGTCTTTCCCAGAGCACTAAGAAGGACTAAACTGAGAGCTTTCATGTTCAACCAGGATCATGTATCAGATGAAAGGAATGCGAGTGTGACCGTGAACCTGCCGTCGCCAGTAGCATAGAGGCGCAGCTATTTGTGAGTTCTAATCAGAGGTTTTGTGTTTTCCCAGGTTATGGTTTTGTAGATTTTGACAGTCCTGCAGCCGCACAGAAGGCAGTAGCGTCTCTCAAGGCAAATGGTGTGCAGGCACAGATGGCCAAGGTAAGACTGATGTTTACATTGTGCGGTCAAATATTTCTTCTTTGCTGTGAATTAACTCAGAAGCTGGGTTTCCAACTATCTGGCTTCTATTTACTTTTTAGAGAAAATAAACATCACAATAGTTTTGGCTTGGAAGGGTCTAGCTGATATATTTCACTGTTTCTTTGTGTATATTTATTGATGTGCTCTTTTATGATGGTAATCTCGTGAGTGATTTAAGGACACTTCAAGTGCTGTTTTGCCTGAGAAAGGAGGTATGTGTGTGTGTGTGTGTGTGTGTGCATCTAGGACTTTCACCAGTAAATGGGGTTTTAGACTAGCACAGTACCTGCAAGGTAACTGATAAACTCTGTGCTCAGAAATGTTGCTCATTGTCTTATTGAGCAGAGTTGACTGCTGAATGATGGTGCTCCCTGTTCTCTGCAAGGAAGTGGGTTTGTGGAAGTGTACCTTATCTGTATTTCTGGAATCTCACTTTGATCCTTATGCCTAGAGTGTTGCTAGATAATGCTTTCCTAGATAGTAATAGTTTTCAATGTGCTTTTATTGTTGTGCAGAGTAACTAATCTGGAACCTTGAATCTGAAGTAATAATACATTTTGATGGCTAGGACAATACATAAAATCACCTATAATAGCTTTGTATGCTGATTGTGATAGTAGTTGCAAAAATCTACACGTGATAAAATAATATAGAACTGTACATGCATATTGTACCAATGATAATTTCTTGGTTTTTATATGATTATATAATGTTTTGCAATGCAAGCTTTGGGGAAACTGGGTGAAGTGTATGTGTGATCTCGCTGATATTTTGCAACTTTCTGAAAATCTGCATTAATTTCTAAATAAAAAAGTAAAAGACTAATTTATAACTTATGGATGCTTGGTAGATATTTGCTTTAAAATAATAATCATTTTGGACTTATTCACATGCAACTTAAGTTTTAAAATATTTTCTGTGATTAATACTACCAAACTTGCTCATCTTCACATTCTTAAAATTTTAGGCTGAATAGGCAACAGACCTCTAAATATTCATCTTAATATGTTCATTTGTACAGTACCTTCAACTATTACCTTAAGAGCTGAGTGACAGGGGCAGTGTTTGGCACAGTGATTAAAAATCCCACTGGGAGTCCCACATCCCACATCGGAATGCCAAGGTTTATGTGCAGGTTCCACTCCTGTTTCCACCTTCCTGCTAATGCAACCATGAGAGACAGCAGGTGATGGCTCAAGTAGTAAGATTCCTGCCCACCCACACAAGAGACCTGGATTGAATTCCTGGCTCCCAGCAGTTGCAGGTGTTTGGATAGTGAACCAACAGGTCACTCTCAACCTGTTTCTGTCTCTTTCTCTTCCTGTCTCTCTACTTTACAAACAAGCAAATAAAATAGCTGAATGATACAATAATGAAATAATCAAATTTTTGGTTGTATGGTTTCTGTCATGATTGTTAACATTCTCTGATGCCATTTTCCAATTTTAACCTCAGATAACTAGAGACGGGCTATCTGGTTCCCTTCCTCTGTGGTTGTCTTCTAGCAAGCTTATAGAGTTCCTGTCTGTTAACCTCTTGGGAGTGACTTTCCATGGAGAGTACTTGGGTGGACCCATTGTCCTTTATGACACATTAGCTGTGATCCGATGCGGTGCAAATTAGAATTTGAATTCTTTCAGCTGTGTAATGTGTTCTTCATCAGGATCATGCCTGGGAGCTTTGGGTTTATTCACAAACCAAGACTGATAAAAATTAATATCTTTAATTAATAAAGAAATTGAATACATGTCGTGGTGTAAAGGTTACTTGTCAAAGAGTTAAATGACAGTTTCAGTCACAACATGACTATAACCAGGAAATAAATGATAAAATATAGCTGCCAGGTCTATGCAAAATACAGAGCTTCAATTGAAACTGAAAACAATACTTGTGGAAAAGAAAATTATTATGGAAATGTTTAAAAAAAAATGTTCCTGGAATATTGTGATCTATTCTATTGGAAAATCCTGAATTTTAGAAGTTTCTGAAATATAGCAATTTAAAATAACGAATACAATACACATAATCACCTTTGTTTCAAATGTTTTTAGCTTGTATGTACATGCCAATGTGTGCATTTGTATGTGTGTGTACTTAGTTGGATAAAAACAGGGAAAGAAAGTTGACAATTTTATAAATCCTGAGAAGCCATGATGTATATTTCCCACAGTTTCTAGGCATTATGTTGCACAAGGAATCTTTTTTTTTTTTTTTTTTTTTTTTTTTTTTTGTGACAGGCAGAGTGGACAGTGAGAGAGAGAGACAGAGAGAAAGGTCTTCCTTTGCCGTTGGTTCACCCTCCAATGGCCGCCGCGGCCGGCGCACTGCGGCCGGCGCACCGCGCTGATCCGTTGGCAGGAGCCAGGAGCCAGGTGCTTTTCCTGGTCTCCCATGGGGTGCAGGGCCCAAGCACCTGGGCCATCCTCCACTGCACTCCCGGGCCACAGCAGAGAGCTGGCCTGGAAGAGGGGCAACCGGGACAGAATCCGGCGCCCCAACCGGGACTAGAACCCGGTGTGCCGGCGCCGCTAGGCGGAGGATTAGCCTAGTGAGCCGCGGCGCCGGCCAGGAATCTCTTTATCTCTCTGTCTCTCCCACCTCCCTCTGTGTCTTACACATGAATCTGCGCACACATACACACAACTTAATCACCGAAATCTCAGCTGTCAGGAGGCTATCCAAGGTGAAAGTAGTCAGCATTTGGACCAAGGTACACAATGCTCAAGGTACACAATAAGGAGATTCCAGCTGGAAAGTTTAAAGTTACTTTTATTCCCAGAGTTGCTCAGAGTTTACCTTTTCAATTGTGTTTCCTTGGAAGTAAATTCTCGGTCTCTTTCTCACAAAGCTTGAATCTGGAGCTCCAGCCTGGAGCTTTAGATTCACATCTGCCTACTGGAAAACTTTCAGCAATAAATGACTCTGTAATTTAACTACCCAGAAGCAAATAAATAGCCTCCCTTTGACAATGAAATGGAACAAGCTCGACCACCTGTATTAGCAGATTTCTCACTGAGCTATTGGATTTCATGGCATTTTTCCCTTTGTCCTGGTAATAACTATTATTTATTATCATATAAACCTGCAGTCTGCAGGGTGTGTGAAACCCACACTATATTTTTTGCCATTTAAGTATCTTCTGAATCTCCCCCTGCATCTTTGTTCTTATCAGTCTCCTACTATGCAGGCTGTGGTGTCACATTTTAAAGACTCCAGGATTGTAAAAGTAAGAATGCTACAAATAATCTACATTCCCAACAGCAATGTGGAGATAACATGAAAACCTCCATGTAAATTGCTTTATTTAAATAATTAATTTCAGTGTATACTTGGGAAAAATCTAGCTGATTTGTCAACTAAATGGAGTTTTATAGCAAATTATTCAGAAAGAAATAATTGATTAGTGGTAAACAGCCATTAATACATTCTAATGTTTCCTGTGTACTTTCTTTTCAGCCAAAAAGGATTTTTTGAGATCAAAGTATGTGTTTATTTTAGGAGAGCAGACTTAATATGTTTTATTAGTACATTGTGCTTAAGAGCATAGGTTTGGGGGAAAGTAGACTTGGCTTTTAATCCTAGCTCTGATATCACTGGGCTATGTACATATCTCTGAATCTCTCTAATAATAATAATAATGCAATGCTTAGGCTAATGCTTAGGAGTGCTATGAGGATGAAACAAAAATACACAAAGAATTTAGCAGAATACTTAATTATATACAGAAATTAGTAAATGTTAATTGCTTAACACTTTATGTTTTTGGTTGAGTTCTGATTTGCTATAAAACTTTCTATAACCCTAATGTATGCCTTAAGTATTATGTAATTGCTAAGTAGTTTCTTCAAAATTATAATAAATAGCACCAGTCATAAAGACTCTTCTTGCCTACTTAGTGCCAGGCATGGTATTAGGCAAGAGAAGAAAAATGAAAATAAATAAATAAATAAATAAATAAAACTCTTTGTTACTGTGAACTTGTAGCATTTACTCTAGGTTCCAGAATACTATAACTCTAGACTCAGAATTTTGGCTGTCATGTTCCTTCCATCCTCAAGTACATAGAAGAAAGTTATTGGCCAATGAATATAATGAATGTCTCTATAAGCATAAAAACAAAAGAGTGAAGAAGAAACTCTCGCTAACATTAATGACCTTACAGGAGTCTATTTTACTTGTGCACCAGGAAGGCCACAGATAGGCAGTCATGAGGTAGGCTCTGCAGTGCCATTGAAAGTCAAGGCTACTCTGCCATCCTTTGGTTCTGTCTTTGATCCTATAATTAAGCTCATGGTTTCCAACATCCCAGCTCTTGTTTCCACAGGTAATCTAGGAAAGGTGAAAAGGTAAAGTGGCTGAAGGGGTATTATAGCTGATTTTGTCCTTTTAAAAGCTTTTCCAGAATACCATCTCAACTACTTGTGTTTACATATCAAAGGCAAAACTGGCTGTGGTTTCCCCATAGCTGCAAGAGCATCTGGGTGATGACCGTGTTAGCTTCTCTGCCTCTGTCACAGAGGAAGTGAAGGGCAGTTCAGCCTTTTGGGCTTCCAACATTCAGGATACCGTTATTCCCACACGGGATGTTTCAGGTGGCTTGCAGTAATCCCATTCCCGAGGGAGCCCATCTCAGAGTGCTATCCCGTTATCACATCTGGTGATGCCATCATTTCTAATAGGCCTGTGACTGCTTTCCATGTTTCAGCAACTCACCACTTTAAGATATAAGCTCTCTCTTCTCCTGCATGTAAATTTCGAGACTGTGGAATGGCACTGTGTATTGGACGGTCACCAGGTATTAGTGGGCAAGCCTTAAGTTATGTCTGTATTTACAAACCTCTTTCTTTGCTGCTTTCTTTCAATTCCAAATATGAGTAAACACAAAGCATCTCTTTCTGGAGAGAAGACCTCACCCCTCCTGGGGCCTTTAGGTAAGGATTCATGTGGTCCTAGACCTC